CAAAAGGGTACCTCTCCCAGCCAAGTCAACAGCACCCTTATTTTCAGAGGTACATGGCACCTAGAGCTTGATTCAGTGGGAACGCCTGTTCACTACCATGGGAAACTTGAGTTCTTCACCTCTTCCTGTTTTAGTTTACTGATTGTGGTTTTTGCTTATCTGTCTGCCCTGAATGTCATGAGGTTTAATTAGTTTTGGTCTGCAAAACACCCTGAGTTCCCCTGCAGAAGTTGTATATGCAATCACAGTAGGATCCCTGCAAGATAATTTTCTTGGCATCCCCAGAGAATCCAGCACAGGCAGCGAGAGGACAACTCCAAAGACAAGGTACTCAAAGCACAAAATTCTGCAATCTCCATCTGTAGCTCGAGGATCAAAAGTTTCAGGGGCAGTAATTTGGTGCAACATACAACAGAACTGCTGTGGGAGTTAGAGAAAAGTGCTGGCAAAAACATTATCAACAGCATCTTTCAGCATAAATAAGGCAAGCAAAAAAAAAAGTCAATGCAACAAAAAACCTTAAAATGGAAATATTAGGGGAAAAAATTGAAATCAACAATACTAACAAAAGCACCATGTGGGTTTCTTAAATATCCCAAACAGCTTAAAGTTGCCCAGACTCCTGCATTCATTAACTGTTCAGGACACAGATTTATTTATTTATGGCTCAGTAAAGAATTCCCAGCTCAGAAGCTTTCCAAAGAACAACCCTCCCCAGTTCTGCATGGGCACCTCAGCCAACTTGCCCTGCCATTTCTTATTCTGATGCTAATGCAGTTCAAACAACCCAACCATGCATTTTTTATCTATGCAATAAGCCTATCTTTAGGTCACTTAGTTGTGTCAGTTTAAATCACAACATCCTCACAGAAAAAAAATATCTTTTTTTTTTTTTTTTTTTACTTCCAGGGACAGGGAAGGCAGAAGAAAAACAACTTAAGATAAAACCACTATTTTTTGTTTGTGGTGCTTAATTCAAGCCCTTCTAAAACCTGTGTGAATTTAAACAGCAGTTGAACCACAAGAAACAACAAATTTTAATTAAGATTTGCAGTTACCTTCAAGACAAGGTACCCTGAGAAAACCTGATCATACACAGGCCTATCGTATAATCATTTAATATTATTAGGTCTTATCCAAAGTCTGCTGGAATAAAGGCCAAGATTCTATTGATCTCTGTGGGTTCCAGTTCTCTCTCCTTTGTAAAATAAGCCTGGATTCTGCTACTCCAGTTTTCACAAGCATCCACACAGGAATAGTCACAAGGTTTCTAAAAAGAGGGAAAAACCGTGAAGTTGAAGCCATCCATAAAAGGTACTGGATTTATTCCAGATGTGGAACTGTTTTTAATTAATTTGGAAGCATTTGAAGTATTCCCTCATTAAATATGCTTTGCATTTTACACATGCACATAAGAGAGTAAGAAAACCCAAAACTGAAGCCAAAATCATAATGTCTTATTAAAAAGACTCTGACACCACTTGTAGCAAAATTAGGCTCATATGAAGACTAGATTTACAGCACTACCATAACACACCGACATCCAAAGCATGCAGTTCCTGCACTGCCCATCCATCCCAAAGCAACCTCACCTTGACAGGAGAGCTCCCACCGGTTGGGAGCACTCCTACCTCCATCCCACCCACCCACCTCCACACAGGACACTTCCCACTGTGCCCATCACACAGAGCAATCCTTGAAGTTCAAGATACCAGTTCTTGTTGCAGCATATGCCACAGTCGAGAGGACCACCACACAACAGCAGAAGGCTTCAACCCATACAGAGTAACACCATAGCTCATCAGGCATCTCCTCATACAGAGCAACATCAGAAGACTGCAAGCATCTGCTCTTGTTCTTTAGCCCAACCTTTTCTCCCCGTGTGCCCTCTGTTCCCTGTGTGATCAGTCCATGCCCACCTGGGCACTCCAGGTCTCATTGCTTCCAGTGCAGCTCACCTGCTTTTCACAGCTGTAGCCCACTGGGGATGGGGCTCGGCTGCAGCCCCACTCCCAATTACCACAGACTGTGTGCCAACAAGTTCTCTACAGAAGGATGAAACAACTTATGGTAAATCTATGTACCAAATCATCATTACTGGTAAAAATCATAGGATATCCTGAGTTGGAAGGGACCCAGAAGGATCACTGAAGTTCAACTCCTGTCCCTGCACAGGACAGCTCCCCAGGAACAGGACCACATGCCTGCGAGTGCTGTCCAAATGTTCCGTGAATTCTGCCAGCCTCGGCGCTGTGACCTCGTCCCTGGGGAGCCTGCTCCATGGCCCAACCACCCTCTGGGTTAATAACCTTTTCCTGATATCCAACCTAAACTCTGCCCAACACAACTTCATGCCATTCTCTTGTTTCCTGTCACTGGTCTCCAGAGAGGAGTGATCAGTGCCTGCGCCTCTGCTTCCTCTCAGGAGGACGCTGAAGACCACATGGAGATCTCCCCTCAGTCTCCTCTTCCGCAGGCTGGAGCCCGGACAGAGGAAGGCTGTGCACAGCGGCAGGTCCACAGGCAGAAACTCCAGCGCAGAGGAAGCGTGGGCAGGTTTCTGTCCGCCTAAACCTGTCTCAGGACACCACCCATGCAGCCGCGGGATGCTCCTTGAGAAGAGCACCAGCATCAGCCCACACCAGGCCCCAGCGAGCACCGCTGGATGCTGGCGGCACCCCGGGCATGCCGGCTCGGTGCACACCCACCGCGGACAAGCGGCTCCCGGGGCTCCCCCGGCGCTGCCAGGCGCCGGGATCAGCGGCTCTCGGCTCCCCTCTAGCGGCTGAGCCACGGGCGGCACGGAGCCGTGTCCCGGGCGGCACCGGCACCGCCCGTGCCACGGCCGGACAGCAGCACCGCCGCGCAGGCAGGCCGCGCACAGCACGGCCCAGCGCAGCCGGGCACCAGCGCAGCCCTCCCGCTCCCAGCGAAGCACAAGGCTGCCAGTTTTGACAGGAGGTGAGCCAAACTGATACACAGTAGGAAGAGCCACAACTAAGTTCAGGAGAGTTATATTTTTAATCGTCTCTCTTAGGCATCCAAAAGAATCATGCATTTGGTGACAACAAAACTCTCAAACTTTTCCTGCCCTAAGACTAAATTTTATATCAGACAACAATGGTTTTGTCTCCAAGGGTCAAATTTAATTCTAGTGAACATCAAGCAGGTCCGTTTCTCAGGGATCACAATTCCACCAAGTGCTACCAAACTGTGTATGATGTTCTGTTCACAACCAGCACAGAAACATTAACTTCACACTTCTTCACAAGTCCTATTTTTTTTCCTAAAAAAAAACCTCAAGCAGGAACATTCCAGTTTCTTTCATTTGGTTGCCAGTGCTAAAATATGCTAACAGCATTAAGGCAAGGGACGACTTGAAGAGCTCACAATCTGTATTCAGCATAATTAGCAGATGCCAATTTAACTTATTACTGCTTCTTATACTGCTTTCTATGTTATAAAAAGGATATCAATGAAAACGTGTTATCTAAATGACTGTTTTCTCAGTGCTGATATAATGCAACAATAATGGGAAAATAAGAGTCACAAAGCATGTGTTAGGAAATACCTGATTTTGAAACAATATTTATAAACAGCCACAGTACAGAAAGAAATGAATGCCTGCAGACAGGACTTTTCTCTCTTCCTTCACACTTTGTATTTTTAGACTGTTCTCAAAGTAATTACATATTTGGTGGTATTCCTGGTTATTCAAATAAGCAATGCAACATTCCTGGTAAAGCGACACCACTAAATCAGGTTGCTCAACTGTCTCAGCCACTTATGATTCCAAAGCATGAGAAATGAGCACACATAAGATGCATTTTCCATGCAGAGAAATAACAGCTAAGAAGTAAGAACACAAATAACTGAAAGAAAGCAAAGCAAGCCCTAAAATCAGCCCTTTCCAAAATGACAAATAATGGGCCGTGTCACAGCTAAGGGGACAGTTACAGAGAGCACTTCTGCCTGCCTGCAAAGCACAAACACATTAACACATTTTATAAAACAATGCCCTCTTGAACTAAGAGGCTGTTGAGAGATGTATCCAGCAGACACACACACAAAAAAAGCAGTGCGCACCAAGATTGTGGATTAAACAGGTTTCTAACACATAAATAACATAACGATCCAGTCCAGGCATCATTCACTGCTAATTCTTCTTGGTGAAGATGCCTTCCTGCTTACAATTCTGCATATTACAATGCAGAGCAAAAAAATATTTTAATAAAGTATCTTCTGACTCTCAGGCTAACTTGAAGAGCCTTGTAAGGCTATGCTTCTTCACAGCTTTAATCGATTTCAGCTATAACTTCATTTGCTATGCCTAACAGACAGTGTAAACTTCACCCTTCCCAAGAATTAAGAAGAAAATAACATTTCATACTCCCCCACAAGCAGTGTGTGGAAAGCACAAAACAGAACCGCTGCACACATACCCCCCAATTAAACTGGTCTCTGTGGAAACTAATAACTTTCCACAGTATGCACTGTAATCCAAGTAATAATTTTAAACAGGCATAAGCTGCAGTGTGCTGAACTAAGGCATTCTTACCTTGAGAAGGGTGCTTGAAGACATTTAGTTACAGTTGGAGAGGGGAATGTGCATGGTGCCAAGTATTTGTCATGCACCAGGGCTATGCCTTACCCCACATCTGCACACACACACACACACACTAACTGGGTGCGTGTGCTCCCCAGGTACAGAAAGAGCACCAGAAAAGATAAGCAGCAGCGATAATGCCCCAGCTTTATGTCTCAATCAGTAGCAAGCCAAGCTAGAGAAACCATTTGAGATGAAAAGAGAAACAATTCCAAGAAACAAGATCTTTTTTTCTCCTCTGGATGCAAAGAGCTTTGCTTGTGTGACCTATAATACCTTAACACAAAAATCTTCACAACCCACCTCCCTCCTGAGCCACGGAGTTGCACATGTCAAATGACAGCACAAAAACAATGCACAAAGACTTTAACAAAAATACTAAAGAACCCCTTACCTTTTAGTCAGAGTAAGTGACAGATAACAGTCATGAGAAACTCAGTTGGCACAGCTGCTGTACGTATTTCTCTGCAGACTTCTTTTTAGTGGTCCCAAAAGCACTGAACATAAAAAACCTCCAGCCTGCCTGCTTCATTCTTCAGCAGCAGAGATACATGCTGTCACGGTAACGCAAAAAAAAAAAAAGAGGCAAAAGGAACTATAGATCTTAGTTTTTAAAGCCTTTGTGCTTATAGGGAAGAAAAAGAGAGAGCAGGGAAAAGAAGGAACAGAGCAAACACTTTTTCTAAGAGAAATGTGGTCTTGGCTATATAAGTAACCACAGCACAGAGACATTCAGTTTGAATTTCCCTGTTTGCAAGCTCCTTTGGAAAAATAAAAAAAAAATCAGTCTTTAGGGGGAAAAAATCAAATGCATGGTTGGGGGGAAGGGAGAGGAGGAGGGTACTGCTCCTATGTGACATACATATGGAATGAGCATTAGAACAATGCTGACAGGACAGCTAAGCAACTGCACTCTGGGGCAGCAGTTTTCAAAGCAGAGCTTTTGCAGCTTTGCAGAAAGGAGAGGAAAACAATTCAATAAAAAAAGCTCCCTCCGCAAATGGGGGGGGGGGGGGGGGGGAGAAAAAGCAAAGAAAAATAAAAGAAAGGAGCTGCTAATTCAAGAACAACTACCAGACTAAAAGAATTAAAAAAAAAAAAAAAAAAAAGAACAAAAATAGTTGGCTAATTTCTGAAAGGGGGGCGGGTGGGAACCGCCGCGACTGCTTCCCAGCGATGCAAGCAGAAGCCTTGATGTCTAGTGCACTTACATTTTATGCTGCGCACAGTGGGTCCCCTCCTCCCTGCCTGCCTCCCTCCTCCTCTCCCTCCCTCCCTCCTTCCCTCCGCCCTCCCTGCCTAGGAAGCTCTCTCTCCCAGGGGACAAGAATTCCAGTGGACCCAATTAACACTGTACTTTGCTGGCTCCTTGGTATGATCGATATTAAATAAGAGGACTTTTAGCAGCATTGAAAAATAAAGCAGCCATATAATGTGTGGCTGATGGAGACTGCATTTTTCCTCCTACGTCTCTACTCCCCCAGTCTCGAAACGATCCAACGCAGCAGAAAAAAAAGCGATTTCAAAAGCATGTGCCAGTACCAGTGATCCAAGCTGCATCAGATATTTGTTAGGAACTTGATGGGAGCCCTCGGCTGCTCATTTCACTAGCTTCGGCAGTACTTTAATAAAGTGGATTTACAAATCAATGGAAGGAATCCAAAGGTTCACAAACAGGCTCTTTCATCAGGTCCGCTGCCTGACCGTACAGGAAGTTTGCTGAAGGGGTCTGGGGACTGTTTCGCCAGCACACTTGTTTTCAATGGACTCCCAACAACACGACTTGTTTGGTTTGGTGAAAGAAAGGCAGTAAGAGGTTCAGTGCTTTAAGGGAATGCAGCCTAGTGTGTTTACTGCTTCGTTCCTGAAGCACGTGTGGCAAGGCATCCTACAAATTGCAAATTATTTTCATTTGAAGAGGGAAGTTGTTGGGAGGCAGTAACCTTCTTTGGTCCTGTTTTCCCTGATCTATCAATCACAGATTGCCATGTAAAAACAACATACTACAGGCTCTCTCTATAGAGGAAAAGCAATTACTAGCATTAACTCTTGCAGTTGCAAATTAATACAATACAGTCCACAACTGATAGAGTCTGCCTGCAAGCCATTAATCTAAAAATAAATGGGTGGTTTGCTTAAATCCAACTGGACTGAAATTCACAGGTTAAGCGGTCCCCTTTCCCTTTCCGTATTTCTACTTGTATTTGTAAAACTCAGTGGAAAGGAAAGAAAGCCATATTTATTTGCTGTGGCCAGTACAATTCCAAGCTAAGAGTATCCATCAGTGAAACTGCCTACAATTACAGGATTTCAGCACCAGTAGTTGCTTTTCCTTTTTTGTTTCTGGGGTGGCCATAATCTTCAAATTAAACCCGAAAAATAGCACTGAGCAATATCCTTGATTGAGCAGCTGGGTTGACCAGTGATTTGAATCCATCTTGTTAAATTAATGTTAGATTACATTTCCATACAAATAAGATCAATTAAAAATACTCATAAAACCATGCGATCAAAGGCAGTGAAGAGTTAAATTAATTAACTCAAAAGGCCTCCAATTAAATACTGTTAAGGTTATGATTCTCCCTCTAGCTAACAGAGGGGAAAAAACCCACCAGCAGGACAAATTTCTCTTAGTGACTCCAAGAGTAGATCCAAGTATCACATCATTTGTTACAAATTCTTTACCATGTCAAGTAACATCCTTGATAGTTAGATAAACGTGGGGCATGCAGAAATCACAAGAAGTGGTCAACTATCCCAAGAAATATCACAAATCAAAGGTTTATTTACATGGTAAGATCCAAAAGAGTGCAGCTATACTTCTTATAGACATGAAGGCATGTTTCTTGAGCTATGGTAATTCCAGGATCATGCACTTGCACCTCCATTTGTGGTGAAGATGCTGCACTTCACAAATATCCTTTAGCTGACAGGGGTTTTTTTGAGCAGAAAGGGTCAGGGAAGAAGGCCCCTGATTAACATGGCACTAAGCAGGACAACACCGGGTGACAATCTGAAAGAGAGGAAAATAAAAAACCTCCACTGGAAATCACAGGAATTTATGTAGAACACCATGCTTCACAGTTGTTAGTGATCCAGCACCACAGCATGGCAAACTGGATTTGAAATGTGATAGAGAGATCACTGGCAATACCAACGTGATGGTCAGAACTGGCAAAATGACATTTCTCTTTCAGTCCCCTACCCTGAATTAGGGGCAATGCTAATTGGTTAAAGTGCCCCTAGAAGTGGCCTAAGCCTTGTACAAAACGCTTCTCTCAACAAGGGGATCAAATCACTTTGCAACTGCTTTGGGACAACATCAGAGTGAATGAACACATACATACACTCCCCCTGGCAATCAAATTGCTTACAGAAAAAAAACACTTTGGTACGGATATAATCTACACTGGCTATGGAGATGCAGTGGGTAGCTGCATTTTGGGAAAGGTTGATGTTTACAGCCACAAAGGGGCACATAAGGGCTCTTGGAACCCATAAATGATCCATCAGTTGGTCTGTCATCCCAACACTCCCAGGCTCTAAGAATGTCTTTATTATCCTGATTCTGGAAATGATGATTTGATGACTGAAAGCCTAAATTGCCTCCCCAAGGAGATACAAAATGTGTTGGAGAATAGCAGGAAACTGATTCCAGGCTTTTCAAGTCCCTTATTTGTCAAGACTGCTCTTCTTTCAAATACAATCAACTGAATTTGACATATTTTTAAAGTAAAGCTTTGTTCCTTAAAAAATACCAACACCATTCTAGACTACTCAAGTTTGAATCACAGCACTATTCATGGTATTACAGGAACACCTGTGCCTCTTAAAAATTCTGCATGTGTATTCACTATCAAGTTTTATTGCAAATAAAAATCCACACTATTTTATTACAAAATAATTTAAAGATTGTTCGACAGTAAGAGTTATAGTCCCTGTTAGGTAGGACACTTCAAGCCAGTGGGGAATTCAGTGAATGGACATCTCTTCTGTGTGACGAAAAAGGGATAGAGAACATTTCTCAAAATGAGCCAGTGTGCCAGGATCAGACCAAGTTATTGGTCAATGTCCTCTTAAAGTAAAAGATCTTGAATGCCACAGTGAAGGTCCCAGTCCCTGGCTGTCAACAAAACAAGCCCTTCTGTTGCTGGAGGCAGGGAAAGAGGGATGTGCTGTGGTCCTGACCCGGGCAAGAGGCTTCTAAAAAGAATCTGCCATTCACAGACATCCTGGTGAGCTGCCTGTGCTGCCTTGTTCACCCCAGACAGCCTCTGCACACCCCACCTGACAGGAACAGCCCTCGCAGATCAGCATCACCCCACCCACAGCCACCACTGCTGCCACCATCAGACACGGGGCCCTGATAATCACACAAACAGAATCCACATATTTAGCCTAGAATTATTGGGAAGAAGCAGCACTGTGCTCAGAATTTGTTTTATTCACTTGAAAGGCAATTCCATGTAAGCTGTAAGGAATACCTAGCAAAAATCCAAGATGGAAAGATGCATCAAAGAAAAAGAGTTGCTACCAAAAGAGAAAGAAGTCAGTATTACTACCTGAGGGCAGGAACTGATGATTGCTAAGGGGGCAATACTATGTGATACAGAGGAAAAGCTATGAAAATTTCTCTTTGTCTCCTTTGGAAACTACCCTGGGAAGTGCCAGCATTTTGGACATCCAAAATGTGCCTTCTTTTTTGGACAACCACAATCTATCTGGGTACCCCGCAAGCACATATGACCAAAATTGCAAGCATGGAAGATTAACTAAGTAAAGATAAATGGTGTAACAGAATTTCTAACAGCTAATCTACTTTATTACAGGCATCATCAACTCTGTTCATTACATAAACCTCTCAATTCAACTGTTCTCAAAGACTACAGCCTTTGGCACTATTTAAAGTTGCTTACACTTTCTTTCTAATATACGCATTTTGATTATTAAAAGGGAAATAAATTGGTAGGCTTTTCTCTCTTTCTTTGTATCTGTTTTCATAATAGTACAATAGATATTAGAAATTACAAAAGAGAAAACATTTAACACACCTCAGCTTCATAACATCAATACTCAAAAACAGAAACAAGGCTGAACACGTGGTGATACGGTCTTTGCTCAAGAATGTGAAAAAATGTCTGCACATATCTTAAATATTTACCAAATGAAGGGGATGTATATCAGGTTGCAGAGCTCTGGATTAAACACACTTTCAATAGATGATGATTCATGTTAATGTATATCAGTAGGGTTGGAGGTTTGCTTTGTTCTTTTTAATTTCTAATTACATTTTAGTATCAGAATAAACAGAGAGAACACATAAAGCCAGAAACTAAACCTAAACTAAAACAAAGGAAAAACTTTTAAGGCACTTAACATCAGAGAAGGTTAGTCAGCCAATTACAATTTACAGCCAGGCAGTAAACCATGGTGAGGTTCAGCTGACTAATGCTCTGCACCATTATGTAGCAAGTATCAAAGATAAAAGGCCAATTTCCTATTTAAAAATTGAGTTTCAGTAATGTGCAGCTGCCAGTCTGTGGGGTTGGGTGATTACCTCCCCAAAGGCATCCACCACAGAGGTCCAGCAATCCCAAATGGAGCTGCATGGCCCAGGGCATCCCTCCCATCCCCAGCTCTTCAGAAGGTGTTCATACCACCCAGGTAGGCATGAGGGGCTCACTGTAGTCTATGCCAAATCAACTGTGCTTTGGTGAACTGGTAATTGGGAACTCTTCTTTACATCCTCATGACGCTAACAAACTGTCTAAAGGCACTTTATTTCAAGTGACCAAACAATCTTGAC